AAACGTTTTGATTAGCTGTCGATTCATCGTATCACATTTGCATTATTCACACGCCTAACAACCTTGACGTTTTGCTGTAACCGAAGCCGCATCGCTTGAACAACGGCTAATGATTTTAGCTTTCCTTTATCTAACTTTTTTCTCAGGAAAGAGACCCTCAACGTAAAATATCCCCTTTATGTACTGGAAGAATTCTTGCTAATAGCGATCTGCGAGTTTAGTGCAATTTTGCTAATAGCGATCTGCGATTCTAGTGCAAAAACGCATGATCGCACCGAAGAGCCTGGTGTGTTCCAACCTGTGTTTTTCATTAAATAACGGCTACTGACTTGGCGTGGCAGCCTATAATGAATACACGCTTTGCTGAGCAACATCAACTACGAATATTTGAAACTGAAAATGAAAATTTCAGTTGTTGGCAATCGCTTTTTTTGCCACAATCTATGTCGATGGACCAGTAGGTGTCCGGATGCCATTCTAGAGATAGGGAGTGAGGACAGGACAGAGAAGAGGAACAAGGCTACTAGTCAGGATTTTGAGGTAGGAACTACTTAACAATGATAACAATCCACCGTTTATGCTGCTCTTTTTAATTCGGTCGTGCGTGATGTCTGTGTTTTATGTCTCAAATCCATGGGCACCTTGAATTATCGGGACTCGAACAGCTATGCTCGAACAGCTATGCAGCTGGGATGGGAAAGGGCTCGGCAGCTGCGCCAATGTTTGCTGGTCATGCCTGCGCTGGCACGTCACTGGAAGGGCTGTGATGAGCGCAATCAATGGAGTAAAATTTTGAAAATGAAAAGCTTTTCACAGTATTCGTATCAAAATAACATACTGACAAAATTCCAATGATTCTCATTGCACAAGGAAGTTATGAACAGTGAGAGAAACAAAGTGAAACTGATACAAGTTAGCTAAAGTTGGGAAACCTCAAGGGAAAGAGGCTTCTACCTGCTCTCAGAAGCAAACAAAATCATGTGCAGCAGGTGTGCGCAGTTCTGTGTCTCCTAAAAATTTAGCCTTTAAAACTGCATCAGCTGCGAAGTTTTTATCTTATTCGAAGTGACGAGATTAGAGAAAATAACAGAAGCACATCACAAAAACGATCAATGAGCATTCGCGAAATTAGTTTGAAGAAAAAAGTTATCTACAGGAAAAGACTATCGTCCGAATCACTGTCGAAAATATCAGGCTTTTTAGTCGCTTTTAGGCCGCCACAGAACACTTCCCGATCAACCTTTCTGGTCACGGCCTTCCCATCCGCAGTGACCATGGAACTATTCACGGTGGTGCTATTAGTAAAAATATCATCATCGGAGTCAAAAAGACCTGATTTCAAATTGTCACCAGAAGAAGTTTGTGCTACTGCACTGAGGGCTGCTGAGGGTTTCTCATTCACTGGAGCACATGCAGTGCTTTTTCCAGAGGAAACAGGACTGCACTTAGTAGAATCAACTGCTGGTTTGGTCAGTAGCGTGGAAAAGATGTCCTCGTCCGAATCCGAAGAAAAAATGGATGTAACGTGAGTTTTTTTACACTTATGTACTACTGAGTGCCTTGGTTCAGCTGCTTTAGCTTTGCTCCCTTGATTTGTGTGTTCGTTTAAAGCAGGCGTCGAACTTGTAGCTGCAACATCAGAAATCTTCCCGACAGCTTCCCTCTTCAGTCGCTGTGGCAAACGTGAAGGTGAACGCCGCGGTGGTCCCTTGTCACGTAACTGAAACACAAAAATTCCTGCCTGACAAAATCAATGTCAAATACATGCTGGCTTTGCGCATGTTTCACATCATGTAACAACTCAGCACCTGTGGCAGCTTCGAGAGGGGACGTGCAACCAAGCTCTGAGCTCCAAGATGCAACTGTAACCAAAGTCGCAAGTTGGATTATAATTCGGCATGAAAAAGTACGCACACTGAGCCAAAAAGAAGGAAGGTATAAAAATCTCAGGTTTTTTCCAAGAAACAAATCGAATTGGAGAAAAAAGAAAAAAAAAACCGATTAACCTTAGACAGCGACGGCAAAACTGCATTTGTTTGAGCGCCTCCATTTACATCGTTGATGATTTGTCCAGAAGGACCGTTTTCCGAAACACCAGACGACCTACTTGAGATTATGCTGCTCAGGACTTGTCTGAATTCTTTAGTCGGAAGTGTTTCTGCTATGTTTGATTGCTGCTCACTGCTGCTGCTTTCCGCAGGAATTCTTTCTCCTGACGCAGCCGCATTTTCCTGAAAAGACAATGAAATCTGTAATGAAAGCAGGACTGCCGAGAGACATTCCAGTGGTACCAGAGCGATAAGTTTTTCGCTTGTTTTGAACAGAACAAGTATTTCCAGTATATCAAAATTGTGGTCACACGGATGCCCCCAGCAGAAACCGGGAATACGCCCTTGAAAATAAAGTCATTTTCATTCGAAAGGAAAATATGACGAACTTTTTCCGCACTGCTGTCTGTATTTGAATCAGAAATTACTCCAGTTTCATAATTCACACTGTTCTGGTGCGTAATTTCATTGGTATGCCAGTTCCTTGAATAAGCTGGACTGATCTGACGCGTTGGTTTTATATTCTATAAGATTCAAAAATGACGGTGCTAAAAACCGGCTCAGCGTTACGCTATTGGTACAAACAACACAAGAGGGTTACGGCGCTGCTTCTGAGTATTTCTGTCAACTTGGAGTACACGAGTCATTCCAAGTACTGGTGCTTGAAAATTTACACTCCTGGCTACCTCCTCACGCATCGTTGATGATGACCACATGCAGCCACTCTAATATGCGAGGGGATCAACAAGGAGCCTCAATCTGCTTTTCAGCGTTTGCCAAAGAAGAATTTTCAAAAAAACGACTATAAACATGTACTGATTTTGACTGTAGTAACTACAGTTTAGAACCAGAAATAACTGTCTTGGTTTTCCAAGAATTCAGGCACAAGCTGCATTAAAAATTACGTATTCACAACTCAGAAAAGAGAGGTATCCAAACTTCGGCGCTTGAATAACTATGAGGGAATAGGAATATGCAAAGGTTTTTTCCTCAAGGAATGAATATGAGCGGTCAATTCTGTGAAAAAAAAAAAAACTAACCGCTCCTTTAAACTGACTGAAAAGATCATCCTCATCGGAACTGCCGGAGAACCGATCATTCGCAACGCTTGGTGACGTAATCTTAATACCAAAGAAATCAAATTTCGTGCAACAGGAAGCCATAAATCCGGCGAAAAAAAAAATATCTGCGTGCTCCCTCTTTCCACCACCCACTCTGCCATCACCCAGTTTACCTGTGGCAGCCCAGCTCAACGGCACCAACGCGCATTTAAAATACTCCACATTTGGCGGCCATGTTCATTTTTGATTATGGGACCACTTCCAAGCTCACGAAGAACCAACCCCGGATATCACCCAAGAATAATTTCATATCTAAATTCCACGACTATTAGTGTGTAGAATTTATACCGTGAACCGATTAACTTAATTTTCAGCAATTCAACTGACCAATAATTCCTTTCTCTGAACAACGATAACTGTCTTTAGTGTATAGTGAAAGGAAAAAAAGGTGGAGTTAGGATGCAATACCTGGACAGAAGATGGCACTGACTGGTTATTTTCGGATCCGTTGAAACGATCTGGTATTTCCTCAGGATCTAAAGTACAAAAAACTTGTTGGATGAAATATGTGAAAGATAACTGATGCTTTTGCTACAAATACTGAATTTATTAATGGCAATCATGATATAAATTTGTGAAGAAACATACACGTTTTCTTTAACAATGGCTTGGAAACGGCATCGGCCACTCTGTTTGTTTCTTTTGCTGAAGAAGTACGCAAACCGGGTAAAACATCGCCATTCTAAAAAAAAAAGAGCAAAAACAAAAATTTTTTTTCAATTTTTTTTAAAAGTTTGGATTAAAATAAGCAGACATTTTATATCTTTTTCAACCTGACCTGTGCGGTGTATTGCCCAGTAGCATTCCCCTCATTCTAAAAGATGAACCGACTTTGTTAGCTGGGAAACAGTTTATTCATTCAATCTTCTAAACTGCTTTTAGTGCATGCCACAGAACGGCCATCAGTTTGGTCCAAGCAACCCGTGAAAAAGGAAGTCATCAACGGACTTGTCAGCAGATAGCTGAGTATAACTTTGATTTTTTCTACTGTTTGATCACTGTCCTTTGCGCAAATTAATTCACTGAACCCTTTTTAAATTAATCGCGGCCTTAAAGGTTAATCAGCTAAACTAGTGGCGTGCTCTGTGTGTGTGTGTGTGTGTGTGTGTGTGTGTGTG